AGTTTAGGCCCCGTTAAGCTGATTAAAACAGAGCGAGTCGGCTCGTTCGACGGAACGCGGCCAGGTGCGTAGTGGCATAGTTTGGCGCTAAATATTTGCTCCGATAACTCAATAACATCTGGAAGGATTACGACGAGGCGTGTCGACGCTTTACACTTTGCGAATTAGGCCGTACGTACACGCGCGCAGAGTGTTCATAATATTGTCAGGGTGACAATACAAAATATTGACTTTACTTTCAAATGGATTTATGATTTATAAATATATAAGTTTATACATATATACTTACTATCAATCACATCATGTATTATCAAAGTTTAAAATATGAATGTTTCGCTAGATCTTAGACAGGCTCCTTGATATATATTAAACATATATATGTCAAATTATTATATTGAAAAAATTGGGAGGAAGTAGAGAGCCGATCGCGTAAAATGTGAACTCCGCCTACGTCTGTTCTGCCCGACGATTTCAAAGCCAGTTAGTGATGTCACCCGGTAACTGTTGTATTATTAAGCTTTGTATCGGCACTCGTTGACACAAACAATTTGCAATAACCGTTATTTAAACAGATTGACCGACGTTTAATTTCGCAGAATTGCCCGGACACTATATTAATAATTATTATATTACTGTGGTGCTGTTTTTTGATAAAACGATATTGAATAAATAAGCCCACAGACGGATGGTTTTAATCGAATGTAATCTTGTTTAACTGTGTTTAAAAAAGGGGTGTAAGGTGGTAAAAGTGCAGTAGGCATTAAATACATTTTTTCTATCTCCACTTATGGTTGATTGTAAGTGAGTTTGAAATAGGACTCAGTATGCATCAGTGCAAAATAAAGCGACTCGATTACGCAATGTCAATAAATAAAGGTACGCTAGTGATGTGCAGCAGTTGGCCGCGCTCCAGGCGCAGCCTCTCAGCGCGTTCGTGCAAACACCACTATTTACCATGCTATTTTCTATCCATTTCCAATACTTTGCGCTCGATGAAATTATTGCGCTTCGAAAGAGTTGAGCGCTAAGCCTATATGAGATAATTTAAGAGCAGTTGTTTTAAAACTTTATAGTTTAAACTGAGCTACTACATAATTACTATATAATTGTAGAATAATATGAACGGCTACTTAAACGACCTTAAAAAATGGGGGAGTTTTAGCAGAATATTTCGTTAGCTCCTATTCTGCTCTCGTTAGAACGTGGCCATTTTCCAGCGGCGATACGTCGTTGGCCACTAGCTACAGTCACCATTCATCAACGTCTCGGCCTCCTCGTTTTTGGTTGTTCTCAGCCCAATTTTGCAATTTCTCTCGTATCAGAATTGCAAGTCATTAATTTTCATTTTTTCTTTATTTATACTATTTTACAGATTACTAATAGTTTATGCGAGTAGTACACATTTAAATAAAACACTTTAACGGTTTAAAACGCGATAATTAGTTAAACTTATTTGAAAATGATTTTTAACATCGGCCCAACGTTTCGGATGCTTTGCAGCAGCCGTGGTCACGGGGAGGCTAAAGATGAAGGATGTCTCTGACGTCAAAGTAAAAAATTGCTACGCTAGCGCCATCTGTTCCGTCGAAGTTGGTATTTGACGAAACTGGCCTTACAGAATTGACTAACGGTGTTTTCGCGTTTGCCATTATGCTGTTTATTGGGATTCCAGGTGTTTGATAATTTGAGGCCCTATTGAAATTTCGGTGTTTTTGAATTCAATTGCTTCGCGTACTAATCTTGGAAAAAATCGACTCTCCTTTGCGAGGATTTTTGGCTGGTCAAAGCGAATGTAATGATTGGGCCCTTCCGATGAGTGTTGGCATACCGCAGATTTGAAGAGACGTTTATGTTTTATATCCGCGACGTGTTCTTTAATTCTGTTTGAGATGCTACGCTTTGTTTGGCCGATGTAGGATAGGCCACAATCATATGCCCGATATTACCGTGTTCGTCACGAATTACTAAAATGTCTAAAAAAGGTAGTGTGTTATTGTCCTCCTGTTCCATTGTAAACCTGATGTTATTATGTATTGAGTTAGGGTGTGTAAGAAATGCAGATACTTGTGCTTTGGGTAAGATGGTAAAGGTATCATCTACGTATCGCTTGTAAAGCTTAGGTTTAACCGGGGAAGAAGCGAGGGCTCTCTCCTCAAAGTCTTCCATAAAAATGTCAGCAACTAAGGGTGAAACTGGAGAACCCATGGCTACGCCATCTACCTGAACATAGAAATCCTCATTCCAAAGTAGGTACCCGGTTATCAAGCAATGCTGTAAGATATCCGCATATTCTGTAGGCATGTTGTATTTAATAAGTTTGCTCTTAACAATTTTGATACAATGAGCTATAGGTGTGTTTAAAGAGTGATGTCATGTCAAAGCTTACCATAACCTCATTGTCTGCTACCTTTAGACCTTTAATAGTTTCTACAAACTGATACGAATCCTTGACGACATGAGCATTTGTATTTCCCCTGAGGGGGGCAAGTGTTCTAGATAAGTGTGTGTTGCTAGTTTATAAGTGGGCAAATCTATTTGACTGACTATTGGACGTAAGGGATTGTTTAATTTATGAATTTTTGGCAACCCATATAATATTTTAGGTGGCTTCGGGCCGGCTGAGATGAGATGTTTAGAGTCGATGTTCAGAGTCGTTTTATACTTGTTTATAAGTTCCGACGTCTATTTCATTACTTTAGTCGTGGGGGTCTTTTGCAACTTGATTGTAAACCGCGTCGTCATCAACTATTTCTGACGTATCCCTCACGACCGTGGCGTTTCCCTTGTCAGCACGCAGTACTATAATATCTTCGTTCGCTCTTAGTTGTTTGAGAGCAGTGGACTCTGCCAGGCAAATGTTGTGTTAGGGCGGCTTGCTGGAGCGTAGGATAAAGGATATATCCTGCCGTATTGCTTCCGCATCTTCCTTAGGGATGACGTTTTTGAAGATGCTTTCCTCGACGTAGCTGATTATCTCTTTGCAAAGTATTTTCGGGGAGTTTAGGCCTTTGTTTAGGACTTGAACGGTGTTTTTATCTAAATTGACTTTTGACAGATTGACAATTAAATTTTGGCATTGACTGATTATCATGATGTTGTTTGTTCGAGTTTGTTTTGTCTGTAGTTTTGCAAATGTTTTAATCTGTTTATGTTTATAAATTGTATATTTATAAAATGCTCTATTTGATATTATGGTTTTGCAATGTTGCCAATCTTCATAATTAAAAATACGTCCTAGCGTGATATCTTCGTCTTGGATTTCAACATTTAACCGTTGTATTTTGGCTCTGTGATCGGCAATGAACCTGAGTAACAACTTTTGACTTACGGTTTGGAGAATCTTGGCGCTTCCAGCTATGTCCTTTTTTGGCGCTATTGGGACACAAACTGGGATGATATTGTGGTCCCGACATCTCTTGAGGATATTTAAGGAAAGTTTGGTGACGGGCACGTTTCGTCGCAAGACACTCTAGTTTTCGAACTTTGTTTGCCTTTTCCAGCCTGTACTGTTTAATTAAATACTGTCTTTAGTTCACGCGAGTAGTACACATTTAAATAAAACGTTACGAAACGTTGGCCCGAAGTTAAAAATCATTTTCAAATAAGTTTAACTAATATATCGCGTTTAAAACCGTTAAAGTGTTTTATTTAAATTTATATTACTAATACATAATATATCGAAGCCTCTTTTTTTTCGTTTTGTTAGAAACCGTCGACTATTTATGACATCAATCTCCCTCTATATATAGCTAATAGTAGATAAACTATAGTTCACCCGAAAAGTAAAAGACGAAGCTAAAGAGAAATAGTAGTTTTTTTTATAGCGATCCTTATTCAATTTCCATCCCTTCCAGGTTACATCGTTGCTTTCTCTTATAGTCCTTGCGTTTTTCTTTTCATTGCTATTCAAGTGGATCTCATGAACAGGTTATATGAACAGGCATAGTAGAGATCTAGGATATTGTTGAAGTGGCTTTAGGTATGGATATATTAGATCACGTCACGATCACGAATGCAGAATTAATAAGGATCGAGTCTCGTAAAGGCATTGTGCGGTGAGGTCGGGAGTTTGTGGCGAATGCACGAGCATCTCCGGCGCATCTCAGGTCCACGTTATGCGAGATGGAGTTCTAATACTAATTCGCAATCGCAAATTTCATAATTATATACTATCCGAGCCTAAGATCTTATTTACTTATCGTTGTCCAAAAAATACCAAAATATATTAATTCTGTTTAATGTACCTTTGTTAAAATTCTTTTTAACTACAACCTCCTTTTTCAACCTAGAAATAATTTGATAGTTTTATGTTCAGTTGGATCAAAGCTGGCTAATATCTGTCGGTTGAAGTATTTAAACTGAGCTGCGCAAATCCTGAAAGATGAAACTAATCGAAGTATTAATGACCACGGATTCCCGTTAGTTGCTCTAAGGCGATCTAACTCTGTTGCAGATTTCAAATATCTACTTCAAACTTCCACTCTCGTTCTTCGAATTCTTGTGCTTCGAAACCACTAGGTTATGTAAGTCAGTAATTGTATTAGGTCGGCCCTTTAGCGTCGCTCCTGCTCATCAGTGCTCTCAAGTAGTTAAATTAAGGATGCATTTCTCGTTAGATCTTATTGGAAATTATGAGCAAGATGCGCGTCTTCGTACACCGGTTTATAGTGTACCCTCGGAAAATAAATGCAATGTGTGCTAAAAGTCTTAAGTCAAAGAAAAATATTATTTTTTCACGCAGGTCACACTTGTAAACGTCGCAAACTAAGCAGTCTAAACTTTCCATTTTTAAATTTTCTCCCAGTTCTCAAATAACGGTCAACCAATTTAAAACACACAATTTAAATTATTATTCGCAGTAAATTTTTCATGATATATTTAACACAAAATAGGCGCCAGTAAACTATTAAGGCTTGCGCGCAATATTTGCAGGCCACACGACGTCAGCGTCGAGTCGTTAAAGTGGAAAAGCGCCGTCGGCAACATTTTTGCATAGTCATTTAGTGAACGTTAAACGCTGCGTACTGCACGCTTCCGTCCACGAGGCGAGGCAAGGCGGGTCTCTGTTCGACATTAACCCGATCGCCGCGGTGCATAGTACGCACGGAGTGCCCGAATGCTCGGCATAAGCCGAACGGCGTTATCGTGCGCGAAATGGGCTCCGCATAACCGCATGCCAACCGCACGCTGCCGACGCGCGCTATGCTTCCGAATTGCATTTGACGAGTGATGCGTTATTGCTTGAGTACATCATTCAAGTTTTATGCATAATTACAAATTTTACACATTATACGTGCTTCGCCCGACTTCGTTCGCGTGAAATAGTTATTCATTTGCAAACGACCTCCTCAGCTTTATAAATTATAGCGGTCGTTCTTGCAAATTAATCTTAAAAGATAGACATATATTGTTGTAGCCATTTTCTAAAACTTACACATTTAAAGACAAATAATTCTTTCACACATATTTTTTGTTTTCAAGCCCACGCATAGGAAGGCCTCAAACATGAATGATTTCTTCCGTCATTTCCTCATTTCCCTCTGTTTGTTCGCTCCTATTAGTCGCAGCCTGATGTTCTATAGCCTTCTCTTCTTCGATAAACGGCCCGACCAACACTAATATAATTTTTCAATTCGAACCAGTAATTTCTGAGAGTAGCGTGTTCAAACAAACAAACTTTTCAGCTTCATAATGTTAGTATAGATTACACAACGTAAAAAAAAAACTAAAAATAATTTGAAGGAAGGCAATAAGTTTCTCGTAAACCAAACGAATGTGTCGTGATTATGTTAGTTTGAATATTTGTACATTACGTATTAGTTATCCGCTGAGAGATATACATTGGGACGATGAGGACGTACATCGGCGAGAATACAAAGCGCGATCGTAACAATGAGATTATATCGGCCACTGACACAATGGCGCTTTATCAATAACATAACGTCTAGCTCCCTATATCAATAACTGATCAGGGGAATATTCCACGCAACTGTTTCGACTCGGTTTACTGCAACGGTTTACTGCACCGGAAACATTGTAGGTATACATAAATAGTAAAGGGCTAATTATTTTGACAATATTGAGTCGCTAGTATCGATTATGGTGTCGTAAACCGCTCGCCACTACGGCTCGTATCCTTCGTGAAACATAAAATACAATTCGAGGCGCGATTTTATAGCGAAAGATATAAAATTGAAAAGGCAATCGTTATAAAAGAGCCGTGAAAAAGCTTCCGTTGGTATTATTAATTTATCGCAAGAGCGCATTTGTTCGCAAATGGCCTACATTCATATATTTTATGTACATTCAACTACATCTGTTTGTTCGACGCCCGCGGTTGCGGAACGCGGTGTAACGCCGTTAGTCGTTACTCGTTAGCCGTTACGCACAACTGCCATCGAAACCGAAGCCTGGGCGGGTCGTTTCATGTATTTTATTTGCTTCGGAAAAATGGATGTTACTCATTTAGTACTGGAGCCTTTTTGTCTAAAAGTGTGTCATATATTTATGTATATTCTGTAATTGCTACGCGTCAATTAGTTTTGTTTAAGTCTATATAAATCGATAGTTCTATATCATATTATTACAGAGTAACAACGGGCTACGGACTAAATGTAGAAGAAATTAATCACAGAATCGGATTCCATATAACCAAATCCAAAATATTATAGTTAGTTTAAATATTAAGTGGCTGGGTTGGGTGCTTTACCTTTCACCGAGTAAGCCTGTCTGCCTCCTCTATCATAAAATAATATTTGAGATCTGTTGTGAATTTTAATACAGAATTATTTATTTTGTGTTATAAGTGAAACCGGCTAACATAGTTCTTACTGGAATCAACCGCCCCATACTGCGGCGGACACGAAGAACGCGAAAAGTATAACACTATATGTCTTCCTGATACCAGGTTTTTTAGGCTCGGCCTGTTCCACCCACAGGTGAGTTCTAATTACGACAAGCCTATTAGGCTGGCGCACTAACGCGACCGCCCGCCATTCACCTCATTGAAAGCAAAGTTTTATTTAGTTGCGCACGGAAGCTTTAGAATTTAGGTGTTTTCCCCTCGGGCCGTGAATAATGAATATTAGAATGTGGAGCTGAATTCTCTCCACTTATCTCGGCTCCATCTCGATGTCCCGCGAGTCCTTCCGCACTTAACCCGTTCGGATGCGACGTTACCTGGAAAGGGAGGCCCCTACTATTCAGATATCGCTACCTCGGTATAGTATACATATTTGTCAAATTTAATAAGTTCAAACACTCACGAACAAAACCTTTATATACACACTAATAATAGCGGAAGTGTAACAATGCCCATAAGCACTATCCACTTGATAATAACCGCCAAAATAGCAGCTTAGAGTGGAATAATGGAAGATTGCTTACGAACTCATCTGTGAGCTCATCCTTAGTTCCCAACAAGACTCATTAATTAAAACGAAATTACTTCGCGAACAACATCAAACTTCAAAGGTTAAGTCAATCGTTTGTATTTATGAATCCATTATTTCGACACAAACAAAGTGATTGTTCTTTCAAATACTGCACGACGTAATTTTAAGCGTGACTTGCGATAAGAAAGTCTAGGCCTACTTTTAAAAAAAAGGAGATCGTAAGATCGATGTACCTAATTGTATCTTTAAAGTCTTCTGCGTCGATAATATATCTACGCCAATACTACAATATTACTACATGCACTCGGTTCTCCGGCACCTCTGAGCCACCGCAGGTAGCAAAGGCAATTTTATCCAGGTTTCTCTCGAAAGTGGGAAGTGGGTACTTCTATAATTCCCAATTAAATTGAGAAAGGCATTTCTAATGAAGTAACCGCTAGAATCTCGTACGGAAGCCCCGATTGTTCGGAGCTAATTAATTTTTATTCGTTAAGTGCAACCGCTGGAAATAAAAGAAGAGTCCGCTCGATTTCTCTAAGGGGTAAGTTTGCTTTTCTTTATTTTGTTACTGTACCTACACATACGTACGCAGTATTTCATCAGGCGATCGAACATATTCGCGATTTGAAATAATCTTTGTACTGTGGCGTGCACGAATGACAAGTTGTTCGGCATTACTTGTTTAAAGTAATAATGAATATCGCGTCGTGAAATAAAACGCGGTGTTTCGACGAAGAACCTTTTATTCGAGCGAAATTACGAGCACCTTTGTGCTAGCCATCTATCTATTGTCGGGCGTCCTTCCGTTCGCTGCGCGTAATGTCAATATTTGAAACACAATGGCGCCGTGTGCTCCCTATTTGTACGCAGAGATATTATTTACGCCCTAAATTCCAGATGCAATGGAACTGTGACGACCTTCCAGATATCAACCGAGGGATACATAGTTCGCTATCGATGAGCCTAATAAGCTCCGAGTCCATTCATAATTGATTACGACGTAATGTCTAAGGTACGAGGTACGCTCGCATAGAGGTCGATAAGATGCGTTTCGAAAGCGCCTTATTGAGTAGGCATTGTTAAAAATACAGTTTGATGTCACTAGATTGCGAATGCAGATACGTGTTTATTGAACGAAGATGAAAATAAAAGTTTTGAGGAGGTGTTCATTAGTACAGCTCCAATTATAAAGAGTCCGGTTGAGTGAGCGGCAAACAATGGCGCTGCAGGCGCACTCCCTCTGCCGTCGTTTCCTACTTATTTCCACGCTTTCATCCGCCCCCGCCGCTGCGAAACGGTGCCTTCGAACATATACGCAAAAGCCCGCACTAGTCTTTCAAACTTTGCTAGACGCTTTCAATCGACGAAAATCATTTCATATTCGCATCTTGCGCTAGGCAAACGTTATAAGTATTAAATAAATGTCGACAGATAGATCAGACAGTATCATCGTAAAAACTATCCTATGAATATGACACATTAAATAAAGCAGTTGTAAATAGAATTAATTACAAGTTAAGAGTAGCCATTCGCGAGGGAATTCTGGGAGGACGCTTTGTCCCAAATGCATCCCGACACCTGCCCCTTACCGCGTATTCCGTACGTGAATCAATTTCTCTTAGGAGCGCTGTTTGTATGCAAAGCGCCACTCCAACTAAACCCCAATATTTCTTTAGCGAGAATTATTAACGTTGTACGGTTTCAATATACCTAGCTTTTAAAAATAACAAAGATATTTTCACTTTCTTTGTTCGCGTTAATTGACTCCGCCTTTATGAAATACTCTTAAAAAGGCTCGTGTATGCCGAAATCGGTGCTATCGTTCGTTCCGTTTGCACGAATCGGTTTCGATCTATCTCGAGCATAATTAATCTCCATTAAGTAAGAAGTACAACTCTAAACATGGCCGCCGTCGAGGCATTGTTCAATTTGCGTTATTCGCGCGAAATTAATTATTAAAAGGGCTGGAGGTCAAACCTGCTTGATCGCTGAAGGCGCCCTTAAATTATACCGTGCGTACTCTTATTTTGGCAAGACTACTTAATATTTTACATTCTTTCGTTTGAAAGTTTTACAATTATATTCGGGACCGGGTGGGACCAAGGATTGCGACATCCGGAAGCTGGGTCTGATCTGCATCGCGGCGGTCTCAAAAAAAAACAACTAATAATATTTTTTACGGAGGTAGAAGAGAGACTTCATACGTTTAAGTGATGTGAAATTTCTGCGATGAATCAATGTGTACTCGCCTTTAGGTTTCGCAAAATGTTAAAGAGCGAAGCGGAAATAATTTCACAATTGAAGCCTCGTTAAATGACAGAAAAGGCTTGAGGTAATATTACAATTTTAATATTAGTCTCGGCCGTTTTCCGTTGCAACCTACAATAAGGAATCGTAGAGTCGTAACAAGGGAGATTGCGAGGAAAAACCAAAAAGCGAATGAAATAAAAATGCGCAGTTTTCTTATATTAAACATTCTACTTCGAAAATCCCTAGATCTTTGCGTACGTCCATTCGTTAAATGAGGTATATATGTATCTGGTGTTCCAGTTGTAATATGTACATATAGTCACTTGAAAGCTCGATGTCTCAACAGATTTGGATTTTTCATTTATAATTTCTACATTGTTAATCACCGGAATCACAAAATTAGCTTCTTATTAATACTACCTTATTTTCAAGCTAAGGTAAACGTTAAGAATACGAGCTAAGATAAGTAATGCAGTCGCTGTATAAGTTTGTATCGGTGCATGTACAAAGTTTTATTTGTTCGTTTCCCTTCGAGAGCGACTTCGCAAAGTCCCTCAAAGCTTTTCAAATTAAAAGCGACGGCGGAGTGTGTTAAATATTTACATAATACACGGGAACATGTGCTGCGAATATTTTTACGGGATCACTTAGGCGGGCTCGCGCCGTTCGCATCACGACCGGCAGCTAGGCGCTGAATCTTTGCGATTCTTTATCTAAGAAGTTCACGAGGAGATCGGGATGCGATATGATGATTAACAGTACGAAGTGGTATTGCCGCTCGAAAGACCACATCTGTTCAAAGGCTGAATCGCGAATGCGTTTGACACTTACGTACGATAATACAGTCTGCGTTCTGTCAGCGAGTCTCTCCTAGTTTCTGTTGTCTGCGAAAAACGCGACGAGCGCTCTCCACTGAAATCATTTTTAATACGCCGAAAAACTCGAAAGTATGAATTATGCAACTGTATCTATTACAATGATGCGACTGAAAGAAAAATAAACATTATTTTAGTCACGAGCTGTATATATATTTTCACCTCTTCCCAAAGATAAATCTCACCTAATCGGGGCAAAAAAGCAGGAAGATAAAGAGAAACTTTTTAAATTCATCGCGAAAATTGTATAAAGCGACAAAGTTGAATTATCTCTAATCAAACCCGACCGACTCCGGCGGAGATTGATAATTTTTTTGGCGACTTCGTAATGCGTCCGCCATTTTGATGGGGAATTAAATTTTCTCGAGGCCCGACGACTTCACCGGAATACAGATTTATATCGGCCGCACATTATGAGAGGAGTTTATTCCGAATCGATATCGACGCGAAACAAGGAAAATTTTGACAAATTCAGATTAAACTTTGCCCCGCTGTTTTAATCTCTCACTTCGCAGAGTGCTTTCGGCTGTGATGCGGGTCTAGAGGTTTCAGCGTCGAAACGTCTATCTGCGAGTCCGAGTAGCGAGAAGAGGACGTCAAAAGCTAAACGACTTCTGTTTGTAGCAATAAAACGCCGCTTAATCTCTGATACGTGTTATTAAAATCGCGAGCTCGCAATTCGCGTTCAAAGAGTCTCTCCAACCCTTTCCTCGCCTTCCCGCGGGAAAATCTTATTTGTATTTTTAATTGAGGCAACATTGTTCACTCCGTTCGGCGGAACTTCTGAGAATGGTTTTGTATAATTACTTTTTAATCGTCTTCCTCCGAGCTTGGAAATATCTAGTTTTCTGGGTCGGAGCGGGGAAACGAAAATCGTATCGACCACAATTTTCACATTGTCTGTGACGTTACAAATATTTACTCAAATTATTGTTCTTATAATATTCGAAAGTACTCCGCCCGATATCGTCATTCGATATCGCGTTTCCAAAGTCTCGTCGGAACTAATTAATCAAGTGTAATTATTGTTTCAATCTCATTGTTGTCAAGACGCCAGTAAAAGACGCCTCGATTGATCGACGCGACGACAGCTCGCCGTTTGTTTACTCGCTGCCTTCTCTTTGTACGTTTTTCTGAAACACCAAGAGCGCTCGGTTGGGTAATGATAAAATTGATAACATCATATGACTTGGGTTGAACAAGAGCCTGAGGGGCCCACTTCATCTATATCTATATGAACATTATAAAAAAAAATATTTTGCTGCCAATAGAAACGAATAAACAAAGGGAAATATGGTAAAAATAGGGAAAATTTTTCATCGTTGCAGGTTCCGTTGCGAGCGCTACGTTATAATACCGTTAACGATACGAAAGTGTAGGCACGATGAAATGTTTCTTCTTTAAATGATTTTAAAATATGTCTGAAAAAATATATGTCTCGTTTCTTTTAAGATTAACTCGCAATGACGCTTCTTCGCAAGGCGCCTTCGCGGGTAACAGCTATATTTTTTAAAGCTGAGAAGGTTGTGTGTTTTCTAGGGATCCTGTTTTGGCCCGCTATTCGTCTATGCGTAATTCGTTACTACTCCTAACGTAATTGCAATTTGTACGGCAGCTTAAAATAAAATAAAAAAGACATTCTTTCCGACTTAATAATAATGGAAATGACATATTAAAAAAACAACTAGTGTGTGTAATATCGCAAATTTGGCATTGAATAAACCTAATATTTTATTTACACGGCTAGCTTTTTACAAGAAGAGTTTTGTGCTTCATAAATAACCATTTTCTTTAAGTGTGGATATTACAACCTTTTAAGAAATTTTAAAATAATTGACGAAAATTCAATTCAAGCGAATGTCAATTCGCGTTTTGTTAAACTGCTTTCTTTAACCCGAGGAACCGAAGTCTAGTTTATACGAGAATTCTTATTCCATTAGACTATTCTACCGATACTTACGTTTTAAAGAGTGTTGTAAAATGTGCTAAACAGTAAAAGAAACCCTCAAATAGCAATAATTGCCTAATTACAGCGTTAATCAAAGTGCCCGTCAACATGCCCGTAATACATTCTTAGTTTGATCCTATATGACTGGTGCGATAATAATTATTCGCGAAGGAAACGCTACATTCACGTTTCCTCCTGTCGAGAACAAAGCGGTTCATATCTCGGGAAGTAATAAGTCCCCGATAGCAAGTACGAGTGCTCGCGCAAAACACGCCGTTGATAACGCCGTGACATGTGCTTTTACTTAGCTGACGCTGAAAACTTTTCCCGCGGGCTTACAACGGATTTCATAAAAGCCATTCCGGTCTCGAGAGCATACGACCTCGTTTTAATTATCCTTGCGAATTGTGTAGAGATTCTTACTTCTTTTGAGATTTTACTTTGATGCGTAGTGCATAGATTATTGGTCATAAGTGGAGGTCAAGTAACGTTAGTGGGATTGCAGAGTAGGCAAAGTGTGTAGCAATAATAGTTTTCCCATTTCTGTCACCGAGCTCCACGATGGTTTGATATTTTCACAGATAATGTATTTCGCGAACTATTTGGGAAAACAGCGTTCCGACGACGTTGTCTTCTCCTGAATAATGCATGGTGCAAAAGTGAGACGCCTCTCGACTCACGCTCCTTATTCAGTGTGACACCGCGTCATCGTGTCGCGACATTTTCCGTCTGCAATAAGGTGTGGAGGCAAAGTTGCACTCTGACTATTGTCCATATTCCAACAAGTAGTCTGATTTCAAACCTTAATAAGCGGAAAGTGCGAACCGACCGCATGTTAACATTATATATTTTTTAATCAATTTTTCTTATTATTATTAGTACAATGTTTTTTCTTCGAGACCTTAAATTATAGGTTATGAATTAACTATGTGTTAATTCATAATCCCCTTATCTTCGATGATATACGTCATAACATTCCCATGACAAATATTCATTCAAATAGTCATTCAAATACTCTCAGTCGAAGGCACAGTTGGCCAGATTTACGATTTAATAATCTAGCTATTTAATTTAAATAAATTACGTCACTCAGCTAACAATCGCTTTCCGACGTTGAATTTCACTAAAAAAATTACGTAAATTCAATTATTTAGTGATTAATGTCAAGTATGTGTAAGTAATTACTGAACTGAACTGAACAATGTTGTTATGAGCCGCCACAACTTGCCGTCACAACTTCTGTACGTGACGATATCATCGTAAGCGATACACGTGTAAATATATTAAATCTATTTCGTTACTTAATCATTGAATAGAGTTCTATTGCGCAATATTTGTGGGTGTCTGTATCGGTCGCTAGGTGAAGGACGCATTGTTATTGAAACTGGTTTTAGTTCGTGAACATTGCGACTGTCGTATCTCGGGTCGCTATTAATTACACGTTATCTTTCGATAAAGAATTTATTTCAATGTTATTGAGGTATTCTAGCGCGCGCCATTCGCTATAGGTTTTCGCTTTAATTTATCTAGCAAGTAGCTGAGCCACGCTGCAAAGTAGTCCTTTACATTCGCGATTAGGCTAGTCAGCAACCAGCTTCTCGCAAACGCCAAAGTGAAGAACAACGCGTTTTCGTGATCGTGCCAGTCTCGCGTGGTGCCGTCGTGCCACACGTAAGCGCCGCGCAGCGACTGCGGAGCGTGCAATGCCAGGTATACCGGAGTCTCGGCTGCCTCGTCGGCTGTACAGAATCCGATTTTCATGGTCATATCGGTTCTGACGAATCCTGGGTGTAAGGAATTTACGCTTATGTCTCTACTCTCTAGCTCTTTTTGCTGTATTAGCGTCAGGGCGCACAAAGCCACTTTGGAAACACGATAGGCCACGATATGACCGTCTTCGACAAAATCGCTCGTCTTAAATGTGCCGTTCTTTTTGGATTCTAGAAACCAGTCGACAAATTCGTTAACATCCTCAATATTCAGATCCTGCTTAGACAATCGTTCTATCCACTCCTCGTTTCTCACGTTAGACAGATGTCCACAGTCACTGGACACGTTAATGACTCTACCGTTACGTCTTATCAAAGGATATATAATTTCTTGCACGTTCAGTACACCTCTGTAGTTGATATCGATAACTTTTTTGCACTCTTCGAATGAGTCGTTACCGTATCCGCTCGCGTATCCGGCGTTGTTGATTAGAATGTCTATTGAGCCGTGTTTATTCTGGAGGTGATCTCTGAATTTAGTAATGCTCTGCCTATCAGTCACGTCCAATTGATGGTATTCAGGACGTAACCCTTGTTCTTTGAGTTTTCCGACTGCGGCCGCGCCGAGGTGCTCGGATCGTGACGTGAGGTACACGACTCCATCGAAATCCTCACACAATCTCTTGACGATAGCGAAACCGATGCCTTTGTTGGAACCGGTGACGACCGCCACGCGAGACATGTCCGCACTTCGTTGACTCAATGCCTGGACTGATAGACGATTCGACGATATAATATGTAGATTATGAAAAAAGCTGATGATTGGAGGTGTGCAATTAGGAGATATTGATTACAATATTAGGTCAATGGTAATAAATATTTAATGAAAAAATATTTGTTTAATTAAAAAACGTATGTTAAGCATTGTTCTGGGTGTGAAAACAGTGACGTAATTTGTTTCTAACCTATAAAGATAATTCTCTTACAGGTAAACCGTTTACGAGGGAATCGTTGTGAGTGGACTTGTTAAGTACTAACCTGTTACTAAAATATTAATTCAGGCCGCAAGGGGAAGCATCAGAGATACCACCCGGGGTTTGAATATATTAAAATGCTAATAGTATCACAAATAATTATACCTCGGCGTGGCACAATTTGCTTCTCCACTCTTGGTAACTCAAAATTTCCAATTTCATTTATTTTTGTTAATTAACCTTCGTACCCTTTGTTCCTTTGACCTTTGTTGGAACTCGAGAACCGCGCGATTTATAATTATAAAATTATGGAGTTTGTACGATTTATGTGTTGGAGGAATAGAGGCGATCGCATCCAAATTTTCTGTGTATTTTCATTTATTTGGTGCGATTTTAATAAAGGGCGAGTCGGAAGCGTGTAATAAAGACGCACGTGACATTTCAATCCGAATAAAAATAAAAGGCAAATTACATCATCGGCCATCTAACAAAATCCCTTCAAAACTGTTTGTTAGAATATGTGAAGCAAACGATCAACATGAAATTAATATAATCATTTTCATGATGCCCTTCACCCCCGCTTAACTATTTAATGAGAACTGTTATTGTTTAACTCGCTTTTAAATACGCCTGCGAAAATATTTTAGCACTTCATATCGACGTTAGTAATTTGTGAAGTAAAAGAAAACATTCGCGTTCTTATAAATATTATTATTATATAATCTGCAAATCTCCTTATTTAACCTATAAATTACAAAAAACAACATTCATAATTTATACGAAATACTTACGACTTAATTATTTTTGTAACTTTTCCAATATTTAATATGTTCTATTAAAATTCCAATGGAATGTTCCAATACTAATATTCTACTCAATTTAGTGGATAAAGCAAGCGAGCTTAAACTCCAACAATACCATAATGTGTGATGCACTAATGCCACTAATACAATATCAGCTTTAATTGAGCGATGAATTATTCATAGAGGAGGGGTCGGCGCGAGGGGGGCTTAAGATAACCCAGAGATTAGTATTAATATAACATGACCGATGGCCTCGAAAAACATGAACACATAAACATAAGGAATAATTCTTAGTATCGTTGACCCGACGACTATTCCTGTAATATGTCCTTACTATTAAATTATACAGAAAAAGCCATTACAAAACGGTAATGAAATATTTATTACATTCGTAATTAGTGGGATTTGAGATTCGTAGCGATAAGTTGATCACGTTTACGTTTACGCTTGTAGCGTCGAAGTCTTGAAGAAGTAGTCAGCATGGCGGTCGTACCAGTCCAGGGCCCTCCTGTCGTACCACACGTACGCTCCTCGTAATTCGTCTGGGGCGTCTAGAGCCAAGTAGAGCGGGGTCTCTGCCGCTTCGTCCGCGTCGTAGAAGCCGACTCCGGCCGTCATGTCCGTACGCACGAGGCCCGGATGCATCGAGTTCACGCTTATATTCCTCTTCTCCAACTGCTTTTGCTGCAAAATAGTCAACGCGCTGAGCGCCACCTTCGCGACCCGATACGCCGCTATAGTCCCGTTGTCGGCGAAATCTTCTCTCTTGAACGTATTATTCTTGCAGGACTCCAAGAAACACTCAACGAAATCGTCGATCTCCTTCCCCGTCAAGTCCTTCTTCGATAAAACATCGAGCCAATATTCGTTCCTCACGTTCGATATGTGGCCGCAGTCGCTGGAAATATTCACTATTCTGCCACCGTCGCGCACCAGCGGGAAAATGAGCTCTTGCATTGTGAGAATACTCTTGTAATTGATGTCCACGATGTAGCGGTTCTCTTCGTACGTGTTGTAAAGGTCTCGGCAGTTGGCGACGGCCGCGTTGTTGATCAGGACGTCGATTCCCCCGTGTTCCTCCTTGAGGAAATCGCGGAAACGGAGGACGCTGTCGCGATCGGCCACGTCGAGTTGGCGGTACTCAGGATACAAGCCTAGTTTGTTCAGCTCGGCCGCGGCTCGCTTCCCGCGTTCGACGTCCCTAGACGTCAGGTACACCACCCCCCGGAACCTGTTGCAAAGCCCCTTGACGATGGAGAAGCCTATGCCCTTATTCGCACCGGTGACTACGGCCACTCGTTCCGCCATCTCGCTTCTGACTGACAAATATTCTGTGAAAGATTGTAGAATTGTTTAATCATTCATCGATTAGAACTATTATGATAACGTTCCTCTGTAACCACTTAAAATAAACACTATTATGTGAGGTCAATTCACTAATATGAAAAATGTTTGTTTAAGAATAATACTGATAACAAATGGACGAAATAAAGTTTGTTTTTTTTTAAAAAAAATTGTAATGATACCAAAATATTATTTAAATAGTAAGTGAAATGGCTGTATCAAAATGAGTTAAAAGGAAAAAAACCCTACCTCACAAGTGGTCTTAAAATGACACCAGCAGATCTAACTACTTCGTTTGGTTCTGCGAACACAACCTTCAACACTTGTCGGACGTTATTTATGAACCTAAATCATTATTGTGACTTTCGAAACACCGTTTCGCCAGGTTATCATCGAGTGCGCACGATTTGCTGTTTTAATGAATATTCGTGCTAATCGATAAGACCTAATTAACCCTCACAATGCAAATCACCTTTTCCTTCGCCGTACGCGAGTGCTTATGTACACGTTCGTTTATTATTTATAATTAAAATTTACCTAATTAATTTAGGCTTTTTAAAGACGCCAGATTGTGTTTTATACATTTTCCTAATCTTTGTGTAGTTCATTTATGTAGTAGGGCTTACTTAAAACTAACCTACAGTTTCAGATTAACCGCTCTTTCAGATTAAACCCGAATGCGTTAAGAAGAGATATGATGATCGCTTTATTGTCTTTGAGGCAGACGTTTCGTCGGTAACAGCCTCGTGATGAGCACGTGACGTCCACATTATCAAAACACTTCAAAAGAGAGTATCTATATATATATATATAAGAGCGGCAAAAGCTACACCTATATAAAACGACAATTTTTTTAGTTTACGGAATTTTCAATATTTTGTAGCACATTCATTTAGACGTATTCAGTCGCCCATTTTCTGTAGTGAAAAAGACGATAATGCACTATTAGCTTCTTATCAGTATTTTATGCACGAATGTGCCTATGTCAATATAGCTATGTTATGTGGAGATCTGTGGACGTTCATCTCGGTTTATGACTAAGCGTTTACAACGAGATCGACAGAGAACTTATACGGAAGGCGGCGATAGAGTACTGTGTCGTGAGTCGTAGCTCTATCGCTCATTAACAATTTGTCCGGGATTATGAGTGGAGACGGTTTAATTAAAAGCGTCTGGCGCGGAGCCAGCCTCGCTGGCAGTGCGCCCGAACCCTTACATTGGCGTGTGATTTATGCACCGGCGTCGGAAAGGCATCGCGCCATTCGACATGCGCTGACGGCGACCTCCCATTGTGGCTTCTCCGCTCCGTCTTGCTCGGCCCCGTTCGGTACGGGGCATAGCAATTATATATATACCTAAAGTCCTTTAAAAACAAAAACAAGTTAACAAAAGTGAACATATGTTACAAACATGAAATCTTTAAAGTTACTTTGTCACCGCCTTATTTATGACTCTTCTGAACTGAAACGAAATTGCACCGATCCGAGCACGCTCCCGTAATACAATATGTGGAGAGGTACAGCATACACTGAGTATAGCCTTCGTCGCGACGCCAAAAATTTCACAATCTATCAATATTCCGAGCGAACATAGGCTTCGTACGATGTCTGTATCCGACGTTGACGTGCATCACGAACAGTCTACGTTGGAATAACAGTGCGCAAACTCACTTAATATATAACGTATAATGTAGTTATAAGAAACAAAAATAATGTTAATTTCCACCCTCCGCTCCGTAGCCTGTTTTGATTTAGGAGCTGGTGTCTGGCGGTCTGGGGTTAGGACTCACTCGGTTCCAGTCAGTTGAACCACTGCGCGGGGCGCACTCTGCGCTCGGCAGATCACTCATACCTTATTCATAGTTTTACTCCAGAGACGCGAGAGGAACAGCACGAAAACGGCTCACTTTATTTTATTTACTTGCACTTTGTTTCTATTTCGCAGGCGGACGTTAAATCTTTTGCATTCTGCAGCTTAACGGCGCCCTTGTTTTCCCGACGTTTCGAATGCTCGTAACTTTCCAATCGGAATGTGAACCGATAAATCAACGTCAAATTGACAATTTTATATCTCATTTACGTGGAAAGGAATGTTTGCAAACGCATCCACGATTACCTATACCAATTACCAGCGCACAAAAATTTTGACTTTTAACACAAATTTCAGAGAGTTTTATGACGAGAACTTTCTGTTTTTGTCTTTCACAGTAAAAGTATAATCAAGAGATTTTCGCGCACTACTTGCTTCTTACACATATCTAAATTAAATTAAAAAAATTAAATATAGTTTAGACTAATCTCATTAATTTACAAGTTACATAGATGTTATTGTTTTTAGCTTTGTCACATTTACACACTATATTTGTCGTTCGGACGTCACACGTGTCTACAGCGTCTTGAAAATCAACGTAGCGCTTTGTGCCAGTTTCCATTAATTATTACATTTTGAGTTAAATGGTGTCGTCATCGAAAATATACTGCTGCTCTTGTAAAACATTTACGATTTCAAATAAAAAGTCGGTTTATTTCAATGAAATACTATTAATAATATTATGTATTTTACTTCGTGCACTGCTAGCTTTTAAGGCTGTAATTATTAACGCATATGGTGGAACTGTAAATGACTGTAACGTTATTTTACTGAAACCGGTTTTTGAGTAGACAAACAGTACAAAACGTACAAACTCGAGTTTCGCGTTCATATTAGGATTTTTCAATTTATAAAAAGCGCTTCCTGCGTATAGGCGAGCTTAACCTCGAGGCGAAAATAGCGTTCAACACGTGGAATATGGTTTATCGGTTTTATTAAAGGTATTGAGTGAAGCAATTTGCAGAGCGGCGTGCCCGTGGCAGGTGTCAGCTTTGACGCGGGTGTGAGGCTGCTCTTTGTCCCGTCGCCGACGTCGGCCGACGCTCGCCGACACAAAGCGCGGCTCGTGAAGTCGAGCACTCTAAACTTTGTCTCGGTTAGGGGCTTCGAACGCTGCGAGCTATTAGTGCACTCGTTGTTATCTCGCCATTATTGTTCCCCGCTTGGAGATCGGTCGCCATCGTCGAACTGCGGGCGGGGCGCCTTCGCGGGGCCATAGCGGTCGCTACTGCACTGGGGAGCGAAGCGCACGAGAACGAGATTCGGGCGCGGGTCGCTGTCGCCTTTCGCTCCCACCTAATAATAATTTTGTTCCGACGAAGACCGATTAACTGCGAAACGGCGTTACCTGCACTGTCAGGCGCGTTAATTAAATTCCCAGCTCAAACAAGGAATTAAATTTATTAGGAAAAAAGAACCGGGACGCACGGCGAGAGATCCCCGGTGTTACGTCGGTATCGTCCGGGATTACACTGGAATCTACCCACTTAATTACGGACTACGCTCAAATTACGTGCCGCTTTATTTTTGAGCCGCTTTACGAGTCGTCGATGAAAGCGCTTCGGGTCGCTAACCATTCGCCTTTTGGGAGCTGACAAACTATTATCGACTATATCTCGCGTAATTGGCCTTCCCAAAAATCATCTATTCAACGGCGGGTCTGCAAACCGCGCTCGTTCCGACGATGTGGAGCAGCGTAGCCTCTGTGCGGTGGCCGTAAGCGCCGCTCTCGCCCGGCGTCGAACCGTTCGACGGCACTGGGGCGACTGCATCGGCGGTAATGCGAACTCCGTCGCCGCGCGTTACGACTGTAATTATCGTCTAAACTCCGGAGCGATCCGATCGCTTAATTCGCGCAAATGCACTAGGCTTTTAGCCTCAATCCCTAAATGTTACTTGAGCTAAGTTAAGCCCTCGTTAAGCCGAGGTGAGAATATCGCAGACGTCTTAATTTTGCACGTCGAGTTAATTTCGCCGAGCGTTTCGGCAGCCGGCGCGAATGGCCCCTTGGACTAATAATGCAGCGCGTGCATAGAGGCTTAAATATTGCTCGGGAAATTAAGCTGCCTTCTCTTGCCGTCGCTTTAGAGCTATTTCTGAATGCGTACGTCTAACGCTGAGTTATTCGGATCGTTTGACGCGTTATATTAGTACCCAACCCTTGTGATAAATATTATCTAATTTCGGATTTTGGATGCGTGCGGAGCGTTGGCAGTTGTAAAGAGTATGTAACCTAGGTACACGGAAGTACTTACTTTATCTTGAAGAAATGTTCGGGCAGAATTGGCGCCCGTGCGATCCGCGGTCTCGCATCAAACACTTTCGCTCTAACGCGCCTCAAAGCGAACCCGTCGTCTGTAAACAAATAAATACTTGCAATATCTCCCTTTCGCTACCTTTTCGGATTAAGCCGAAGCTTTTTCATAGCGAAATATAGTGACGGGGTTTCTCTATGAAAATATTACGTCCCGGTCGCGTTAGGATCGGGTTTTCGCTTTTGAAATAGATATCGGTAACGAAAAAGTTAATCTCCCCGGTGTGGATTAGTTTTCTCTTATTTTATGTATTTACGGAGTCCGACGCGCGACGAATATTTTTACTTAGTTTTGAGTTCAAATATTTTGTTTCTCATAGCCGCGTATTCAAAAACCTCTTTGTCCATCGTCTGGTTGAGCATAAAATTATTATATTTTGTCACTACATTTATATAGCCCACTATTCGGCGAAGAGGGCTGCGGGTGTCAGGCTCATCGCTAGACTATTAATTGAGCTTAACTAAATCTTACCTTTCTTACAAACCAATTTGCATGCTATCAGTTTTTGGACTTAATTTTTAATTTGTTCAAATTACAGCACAGCATCTTTATAAGCCGTAGCTAAGCTACGAAATGCCAACGATCTAAAAGTTTGACGATAAAGTGAGACGTTATCGGCGTTTCCGCTCATTAAAATCCTACTGATAATAAAATGCGATGTTAGACATGAATGCGAGCCGGGTTTGCAAATCGCTTCGCATTCACGATAATCCTGTCGCTCGTTTATTTCACGGAAAAACTATGTATCGAGGGCTAGCCGGAGCTCTATCTGTCCGATTTTAATCGTATTTGTAAAAAAACTGACAACATTTTCACACGTCGTCGCACCGGTTAACGTTGGAACGCGGTTAAGTCGAATTGAAGGGTTTCGTGGCGATCGTTAATGGGGCTAACGGGAGTGTGTTCAAAGACGTTATTAACAAAATGGTAAACGCAAAATGATATCTAGGCGAAACTTTACCTGTGCCCCGAGACAGTAGCTGGAGTTTTTCATTAAGATACACCGTAGCAAATGAATATAATAATGAGTTTAAATATCTTGCATATACGCTTCAATGAGCCAACACCGTGAGACCGTGAGTTGGTTCGAATAAGAGACACAGAATCTACGCGTCAATATAAATAACTTACATTACGTTATAAAAAATATGAACCTGGGCGAATGGGTGCCTGCTACACTAAGAATATTTACACGGAACGTTTAGTGCAGACCTACAACCCTCGTATTATCGGATGTCGGTCGTGAGCAATCAATCATTTGGCACATTTCAATGTGAATTCTGGAAACGCCGCATCGACGGGCTCCCGCAAATCCGACGATCCCGGTTTAGTCGGCACAGAGGCAACTATCTAAGCCTTTTAGCTTCGGAGAAGTTCGCTACCCGTTATGATTTCGACAGGAACAGTGCGGTCCAACTCCACAAATCGATTCCTGATAGCCCGAGGGATCGTGCGAGGTCGCTTATCTTCGCCGTTGCACTTTAAATAACATCAGGTAATTTAAATTACATACGAGCGAAATTATCATATCGACGCGAAATAAGGAACCGGTTTTTGCAGTTTTTTCTTTTGCGAGTATTGTTATAAATAATGATTAATTGAGAGAGAATTTTAGTTCTTAATATTCTTACTGTTCGTTGATATTACCAAACTATTTTATCTAATTGTACTTTTACATGCAATGGAATGTTTGTAAAACGTGTAATGATCTACTACATATTATGTTTATTGTTATTATCGCACTCCGTTCTCGAATTGAGCTAGGTTTGCACCCTCCTGCAGTACACCTACGGTAATAACTACAACTAGCTTTATTGCACCACGAGTTTTATTTATTTACGTGAAATTTCAATAGCATAATTAGTCATTTCGTTGTTTAAATGTTTATTAATTTCCTATCAGTGTCATACCTGATTACGTTAGTTCATGAAAATTAAAGTAAAGTAATTAAACAGCCAACTGTACAGGCGACTTTGTTGAAATATATAGGCAGATTTAGTATGGTTCTCGAGACCACAGGGGCCAAAACCACCTCAGCTCATGGAATTAGTTAAACGTCTCGCAAGTGGAGCCGTTCGCTTCCACTAATCTCACTCCAACGGAGCATAATTCCCGCCGACATACACGTAATTGAGATGCGGACGGCGTCACAGCGCTAATGGGAAATGACAATTAGGGATCAATCGGGTTTACTCTCGATTAGGTGTACGATGATTTTGGTCCAACGGTCGAGAGTCTCGCGCTAGCGTTTCACTGGGCCCATCGTAATCCATTCCGGTGTCAATCTATGTCTTTTTGACTACAAGGCCATAAAATGTCGCACCTGTCGATGCGAGGCCAATATCCACGTTTTCACTTCGTCTGTGGTTCGTTCAGGCGATGACTGGAGTGGGTGGAGACAGAGCGAAGACAGTGCGCAAAGTGTCTGATTGATGTTCGCCTTTCACTCCCGATCATAAATTAAGTGCATTCGCCGTGAACGGCCGCCCGCCCTCCGCCCGTTGAATGCCCTCGAAGCCATTGTTTGCTTGATTTAATAACACCCACTTATAATAGCGACGCGAAGATTATTATTCTGGCTCGATTCAACCGGAACCGAGAACTCGAATCGCCGAATGTAATAATGGGAATTATTAGTGCTTTATTACCAGCGTGTTTTTGACAGTCTCTTATAGTTTCTAACAAAATGTCCTTGACTTGAATAACATGTCCTTTCTCAGGCTATAGGATATCTGTGCACCAGATTCCATTTAAATCGGTTCAGTACTTTCGGCGTGAAAGCCAGACGGACAGATAGAGTTACTTTCGTATTTATAATACTAGTAGTGATTTTTAATTTTTCTAATACTTCAGCAAGTTTGATAAACGAACGATAGATACGAACTGAAAAACGGGCGTATTACTCTCGTGCAAGAACGGTTCCGTAACTAATCAAAATAATTTTTGGAATTAAATTGGTTCGTCACCTAATTATTATTTTTTATTATTTGTGTACGCGATATAGTTATAAGAAAGTATTTTAAGTGCCTTACCATCTATAATTTATTGACCTCAATTAAAATAGGCAAAATTTCACATCTGTTTGGTTTACTGTCCCTTATTAATATGATTAAATATCTCTCGAATAAAAAAAACAAACAAAAATCGGAATAATTCATAAATGCTTCAAGTGCCATCCTGTATGAAATATACGAAGATATCGAAAACAAACAGACACAAAGACACCAAACAGACAGTATACGAAATAGAATAGGGTCTGGAATTTAAAAAGCTGTGTACTATAATTGTAATTCCAGTGTTAGGTACCGCTAATGACGAGATTTTTAAAATCTATTATTATCGATGGAATACATATAAATTTTCCTTTAACAACCGGTTGGCCGACTGGCTCGCGATCGGGACGCGTACACTCTCTTATACTTTCCAGGCGAACATTATCATTTTCAGAAGAGTCCCTCCAATACGACAAACTTTTGCGAATCTCGCTTGGGAACTATTCTTAGATATTTATTTCAAATCAGAGTAATTAAGAATAAACTAATAATAATACAAAAGAAAATATTCAAGTTCAAAAGAATAAGTTCTAAAAAGAAGTTTAACAAATATTATTCAAAGTGTGATTCCTCTTAAAAGAACGCTTTAAATAAAGCATAAAAATAAAAAAAAAACTCGAAATATTCAATGTCGCTCGTGTCCACATGTAAGGAGCCCACTGCCCCTCTCTCGTCGGGTTAGTTACTCGATGCGCGGCGTGGCGGCCACCGCCGGCATTATTTTTATTTTTATTTCATGATATCTTTTGAATGGAATGTCCGTTTTCAATAACTAAATATAGTAAATTAAATTAAAGTTACATAAAGTAATCATCAGGTATTGAGACAGTCTTGAATATTAAATAAATGTA